TTCGTTCCACTTTTTGTTTACCTCCTGTATGTGCGTTCCAGGAGGAGACACGATTTATACCAATGCCTCAGTTGCCGTCATTGCTTGTGGATTTACCTTGGATTTACAGGTTACATTACGTATACCTCAGTATGTTCCATATGAGAAACTCAAGTTTGCTACCAATTGCTTTTAGATAGAAAAGTTGCACTATAGCCATCCTACGGGACCTGTCAGGTTTTAGCTGTTTTACCCGTGTAAATCCATTGTACCATTCTTCCATACTCAACTATCTAGCGATGATAGGAATTTTGGGCTAAGCAGCTCGTACGAGACGTAAGTGGAACCCTATAGGGTATGCAAACTCAAATTTCCTACCTTCCAGATAGAAGAAATAAATCGCAACGTCGTTTAACTGGCTCGACGGTTCAAGACAACAACAGCTCTCAGCTTAAAAATAGGTTTGTAATGGTGTCAAAACAGGGTAGACACAGTGGGACGTACGGCAACAGCTGGCTAATCGATACCCGGTTAAAGGTGGAATGGTCCGATTTTGCAGAATCAAAAATGTGTTGATGTTGCAAAATAAAAACCTTGTTCAACATTACGTTAAAATCATATGTGTAACACCCTATAGAACTATCGTGAAATGGTTTGGGTATCGGGATACCATGTTCTTACTATGACGACCCATATCGAGTGAGAAAGTTCAGTTCCAGTTTGCCTGCAAGCACGTTGACCCTCATCATCATCATCAGTATACACGTAAGCTAGAGGTGGGAAACACCTCAGCTACTGTGCCGCAATACATAGAAGAAAAAAGGAGAGAGAAATTTACAACTGGTGCACGCCGGCTGAGCTACCGGTAACGGATGAGCATCGTTCCGGTAAGCTACTAGCCGGCTACTGTGCATCAAACGAAAATTACCATGCAAAATTATAACATGTTAACTAATAAGATCGTGGTTGGAGGGGGAGGCTAAGGGGGATGGGGTGGAACAAATCAACTCACCACGAACGCCACTGAGGTCCGCTCCTAGCCATATCAGCAAATGTATCCAACCAAACTTGTTCATCGTCTTTCGGACGCCAACCAGGGAGCCAAGACACTCCAACTGAGGCTAGCTCCGAAGGGAGAGAGGCCAGATCTGAAGTGGGGGAGGCCAACTCCGTCCATCATCATCACATAAAACCGGTTTTGAATAAACGAAGAAAGTTACTCTGACTGGAGAATTGTATGTTGTCTCGGAAGAACGTTAAGATAATATGCGTTTCAGCACTCAGGAACCTTGACGGGCGTATCCGAATAAATCGCATTCAGACTGAAGCAGGCCTGGTTCATTCGATATTTTCTAGTGCTCTCTTTTGGGTCACGGTAAAGCCAAACTGTCACTACTAATTGCGCTATCCCGATGACCAGATAACATAGTTCCCAGTATATCAAGGTCTAGGGGGAGCTTACTTGTCGCAACTCAACTGTACAGCGTGTACTCAAAATTAAGCAAATGCTAAACCTATGTTAATCGATTCACTTAACTGTCAACAGTGAAAACGGCCTGTGGTGTCGGTTTCGAACAAAGCTGATGAAACAGAGACAGCGCGGCTGCTATTCACAGTTGACACCAAATTTTCCGACACTCATTCATCAGCGGTCGTCTTGCCGTCATCACTGGCCGCGGATAAGAACTTCAAGTATGCTAGTTGAGAAATCCTCACCCATTACTAACTTCCAACATACCTCTGGATAGCAGCGAAATCCACTGAAGTTAGATTGTGTATACATATATACTTGCAAAATTTGATCTTGATGTGTGTTTCTATGTTTGAGACTTTCGCCCCACCTCACCAGTCTCCCGCAAATTTGCGACTGGTGTGATAGTGTAAATTCTATTCGAAGTATGTCATATAACCATTGTTCGCCCATTCCCTAGGTATTGAAACCACTTACTATTGACCATACGCCATAAGGTTGCAATAGTGCAATGCTTTATCACGGGTACAAAAGCAAATGTTTTACAAGTCACGTAAGGCGTTCATAGTGAAAAGTATGAGATAAAAACTGTGTCAACAAAAGAACGCGTGAGTGATATGACTCACCAAGGGGTTTGTATTTGCATATATGTGAGTATTCCTGCCTGGAGTTTAGAATGCTTATGACACCGTCCACAATTTGCTCTGCATTAATGCTACCAACTAGTGCTCATGGGCTATATCACTTAGTTTAAGTGTGACAGAGTACTGTCAAGGCGTCTGTTGAAAAGGGATAAGGTGGCCGCATTAATTACATGTACCCGGGGGGACGTTCCAGGGCTATGACACTCGGAGTGAGAGGGAAAGAGCTTTGTCTACATTCTAATCCATTGTACTGCGTGGCTAAATTAATTTGACCCCTCGGAAAAGTGTTATGACTGAGTTTCAAATGCGAGTATAATGTGTGATGGCGGGGACTTTTGGAGCCAATACACTGTTATGAGCGCTCCCTTTAGATGCTGATAACTTCTGCTACATACTTTTTAGAGTTTTCACTTTGAGCGGTTATGCAACGTGGGGCAAACCTTTGACATTCTTCGTCGCTTTGCGTTGTGCGCTACTGATCGCGGTGAGGTGATGCTTCTTCCGGTGTTGCCATGCCTGGATAGCGTATTCCGCAACAAGCACTTTTGGAAAGACTGAGGAGTCGACCATCCTGAACGTTGAACGAAGTTGGCCGAAGTGCTTATTTGTTTGCTTGAAACTTTTATGGTCTACCTCAAACAACCAAGGTCATCTTGCACGATCAAGTTGAGATCGCATTCATGAGAAACCCCACCGTAGAATGTGTGCTCCTAGCCGGTAGTCGTGAGTACTCTGATGCCGTATGATGAGATCTTTGGATTTAGCGGCGTTCAACTGCAGCATATTTTCGATGGACCATGTGCATGCTTTATTCAGATAATATTTTTGGACTCTGTTATCCTTCACCGTAGTATCCAGCTGCATGACACTTCTGCAGAATCAGCTACACGGTTCATGCACGTTGGTCCCTAGCCTTGTCATCGCAACTGCATTCTGGATGATTAGGGTTTGACACACGTTAACAGCCAAACTCTGGCACCGTATAGAGTCCTTTTAAACTGCTCCCACGAACATACGCCATCCATGGCCTCGTATTGACATCGGCGGATTTGTTTCCAAGAGCGCCTTTATTTGTTGTGTCCAATCGATCAAGTTAAGCAATTTCAAATTTGATCCAGTAATCGATCACATGCCGCTATCGGCAATTTCATCGTCCGTCCGAAGTATGGTGGCAGTGACATGTCTTTGATTCCTTGTAGAACAATTTCCAGGCATTTGGGCTCGGCGTGCTCTAACGGATCTGCCTTATTTGTTCAGGACCGTCTGACCGGAATCCAAACAGGTGCAACCTATAAGCAACAATCCGATAAAAGAAGTCGAAAAACGCGAATAAAACCTGAAAACTCACTAAAAGAAGTCCGTATCTAATCTACGGTACTGGGCGTTTTCCCAACAATACCAAGTAGTAAAAGGAGCCACGCAGGACCAGTGTGTTAGTGGTGATCCGCAATCGGACACCACTGCACGCAATCACATCGGCGGATTATACGATGCCCGTAAGCTATCGCACGACATCTATTGTGTTCAAAAAGAAACCGAACTCTTGGGATAGCGCCCGAACCGGCGGTGAGGAGCCGCTGCGGCTACTGAGTACACGCACCAGTTGCCACGTTTCACTCTGAGCATTAGATGGCGTGACCACGACATCCCCAGGGCGCGCTTCCTTTGCCTGTCGGTGCACTAATTTGAGTTCGGTTTATTTTTGAACAGAAGCATACAATCACTGAGAACGAAGACGACATGTTGAGCGCGGGGGAAAAATAGATACCATCATTTTAAGGGCAGAGAGACAAAGTCAGAGGAACACAGGAAATGTTTTGGATCTCATCTGAGGGACTGTGATTAGGATGTGTGCGAACATGGTAGTTTGAGGCGAGACGGAAACAGAGAAACGGTCTCGACCGGGCTAGACGGTCGAGGTAGGTACAAGTGAATGAAACGGGATCCATAACCCATATATCGGTTTCTGGTAAAGTGCACCTAGGGTTTTGCACCACCAATTCTTGGTATGGTACATGCGTGAGTATGCCTCAACATCGATTGGATCACTGAAGTTGCTCATCATGGCCGATGTTCCATCCTGCCGCACGGCAGATCCCGCGACGTTAGACTGCACCGTCACAAAATGTCATAAGCTGGAGGTCTGTAGAGTAGTTAGTTAACAGTGTCGACTGTAAAGAGTGGATCGATACATAGTTTACCAGAACCCGTGTAATACCACCCATGTACGTCACAATTTGCTGAAGCTCATTAGAATACCAAACTTATGAGCGAACAATCAAAGCTGAATAGCCATTACAATCGTCTGGATTACCGTTGGAAATAGGTTCCACAAATGGACTAGAAACCATACAATGCACTTTTATACTCAATTATTCATGCTCTCACCTGTACAATCTTGCAGGAAATCTTGGATATTGCACTTACCCCCTTGCGTTTGCAAGACCAGCTCTCACGAGTATACCTTTGGGACCTGTCATCTTTGGATCAGTGCGCCTTAGGGACGTTAGGAAAGCAGTACTACTGAGCACGCATTTTATTTATCTTATAAGTTATGTGGACTCAATTCCCAACTTTGTTGCCTATCGTGGTTCACTCTAGGCATATCCCCATTTACCTTTACATCTCGTCTATTTTTGGTTAGAAATTCTGACAGCGATCATCCTCGGGGACTTGTTGGCACTAGTATTTCCGTCAATAAACCATTGTTTTCATGTGCTAGTTTTCAGCGCAAAAGAAAACCTCGTTGACTTAACTGACAACCAGAATGTGAATGTGAGAATTGCTAACGCATGCTTTCATCACATTTTTATTGGAATGCTTTGCTTTCTACGTTGCATCGCATTGTCTGATTGATTTGTCCATTGTTCTACTAAATACTCCGGCCGCAATTGTATCTTGCGCAGACCTAATGGCTGAATGGCTCGCTCACATTGACCTCATAAGTGGAATGGCATTTTGCCCCCGGTTCGAGCAACGCATATTTCTGGTCACCTCGTCCACGGATTGTGCTGTCTCTCTGTGGACTCTGGACGGAACAAAAGTGGGCACTTTCGGACAGGTAAGAACTTGAAGAACGAGATGCTCCCTATAGATTTTGCATACTTCAAGATACATATTTACAAATGATGTTAGTTGACTACATATGAGAATCATAAGGCTCCTCTTGACTCCTATGTTCCATTTGTTTCCGCAACGTGACTCCCAGCAGGTTAACCGTAACTAAGTACAATCATAATACTGTATGACAGCTATAGGCCGTAACGGCTGCTTCGCTGCAGCGAGACCATCACCAGTCGCGCATGGGCTGAAGATACCGCGAGGGCGCCCGACCCTACATGAATTCGAACCAGGGACCTTATGATTGCAAGCCAGGCTTGCACACCACTCGTTCGCCGGAATTGCCTACAGATCTATTCCCTCCATTCACACGAATACACACATTGGCACGTACGGATAAAGAGCTAACTAGCGTCAATCCACAACTTAGAAACCGCTAAGATTTTATGAGCTACAGCAAAGTCAAGTGTGCAGCGTGGGAACATAGTACTATACCCGTACAAAATTAACCAAACCTAAGCCTGTCTTTATCACATCAGCCAGAAAGACCTTGCTCTTTGGCGATAACTGCTGACACGAGAGGGAAATTGAGCCATCTGCTGTTTTGGTAGTATTAAGCACGACAAGACACCATGAGGCAAGCATACTTGACCTGATATGGGACGTCACTGCTACCGTCCTTCTTTATAACACTGATATTATGCGCATATTGAATCCCTAATGAAATCAGAAGCCTAATCTCAAGTAAAGTGCGACGAAATTCGAAGTTCATAAACCACGGTGCTTAATTAAAACGGCGAACCTTGACTTACTCGGGTGATCCTAAGTTCCGCTAATGACACAGAAACCTTCCTAATGTTAACTTATCTACTCCGTAACTCCTCACCTGGACTGCACCTATATCCAGACATCCTTTTGAGAAATACATCGCAAGGAGAAAAGCAATCGATAGGAAATTCGCATACCTGATGAAAATCGGACGATTATTGTTTACGGTACTCGTAATCTAACCTCCTCCTTCAATGAATCGGGGGCACATGACCAGAAGTAATGTTGATATATTCACTAAGTATTCTTCCTCTACAACATACTCGCTAAATAGTTGAGAAGAATTCCATTTTTTTGCAACCACAAGCAGTGCAGTCCAAGCTAGATGAAAGTGATGCTTCAATCTGAGAAATTCTCGTGCAATTCAGCGTAACCTTGAAACTGGCTGCCCACAGAAACCCATTTGGTTGTAGCATACACAAAGCGACGTCTGGTTATCGATTTATTGGGGACGGCTAGGTAAGTGTATATTACTTTTATAATTTATATGTAAGGGCTCGTTCAATGGCAGTCGCAGTATCCCACAGGATACGTCGAAATGGGCCGACCACCAGAGCTCGGACAGCTGCGTGCAGAGGTGCGACCCGACCTTAAGTCAGACTTAACGACACTTCAAAAAACGGCTAGTGGTGGACCCCTCAGTGGTTAGCACAACCTCCGATCTTTATTCACCATCTATCAACTCGTTCTTGGTTATCGAGTAACTTCCCTTCCTTCGTGCAAATGCGCGGCTTCAGCACAGCGAAATATCCTTACAACTACCGAGACGTGCTCGAGCTATGGGATTATCGCCGTTGAGATAACTTTACCCCGTATGTCGCTGATCCGGAACAAAAAGAGCAATTGGAGAAGTGATGACCAGTGATTGTACAACCGACCTTCGTTGTGAACTCACAGACGACCTTTGGACGCATGTCACTAGGTTTTTTGATGCCGGCTGGGGCTAAAGAACGACGACACACTGTAGTAGAACGGGGCAACATGTACCAAACCACTCACACGAGCGCATGTCTATGCATCCAATTTCCTTTTCACGACGCGCCACATTTCCTATAGCAGCTCGTGACCCAACTCCCCTCCTACACGGCCTGTACCTTTGGATCATTCCCACCTATCTCCGCTTCGGTCCGTCCCATTCCGGCTGGCTAAGATTCTTGATCTGATTAATCGCTGCTGCATCGTTTTGCTTTGGGTCAGTTCTGTAGGTTCTAATAACGGTGTATTGGTCGGATTTCCTATGCCATTTACAAATGCATTCCCAGTTCTTCTAGTCGTAGTCTCACTACTGGTCGCCGCTCACGGACTCTGTTTCAGCCGGTTACAAAAGACTTGTGTTGCTCCGTTTGGTATCATTTCTTAGGCCTGCTTATTATTCTACGCTATCCAATTTTCGTTTCTTTCGGGTAATCGTTGCCTTGGTCTACCTAAACCTGCCTCTTATGGAATTTGAATGTCCCTCGCGTGCCACGGTCATAGCATGGCGGCATCGTCAATTCTGAACTACACACCTCTCCAAACGAGTTCAAGGTGGGGGCGTTTCCAGCGCTACCTGAACTTGCTCAGCCGGTCGGTGGCCGAAAGGACAAGTTGTCTGCCTTGCAACCCGGAGGTCGCAGCTTCGAGCCTGTATAGGGGACCGAGCCACCATCGCAATACCCTTAGCCCATGCGCGACTTGTGGTGGTTGAGTGGCAGCGAAGAATCGGTACGGCATACCAGTGTACTGCTGATCTATTCCAACATAATTTCGTATATTGGATTGTTCTCCTACGCTGAATGGTCCCTCCTTGTGTGTGGCATACGTTGCGATGTGGTCCCACTTATTTCGTAACTGTCGAGATTTGGTTTGTCTTCTGGCGGTTGCATTCGATCCTTTGTTTCTCACAGCTGAACCTTTCCTTCCACGTTGTCGCTAAGCATGTATCTGGAGCAGTTCTTGTTTTTATGCCAAACAGTACTCCGAATGGAGAAACCTTCGTGTTAAGCTGCATGCTAGTTCGATGCCTGAGTATAATTTCAGGCAACGCTTCCTCCAAAGCCAACTTCGCGCAGTTCATCCACGCCTTCATATTTCGATTATGCCGCTGTCATTCTGTGGGTATGTAGATGGTACGATGAGGTACGTCGTCTTTGGATACCCCACTTGTTCAATACGACTTGAATGCCCTTCGACTCAAAGCGAAGCTCCTGTTCAATAATAAAGTATCGTGGTATTGCATACCCTGTTGGCACATTGAGCTCGAATACCTGTGTCATAGTCTCGCCTGTCTGGTCTTTGATCCATATGGCTTTTCCCATCGAGTGAACTGGCTATTGCTAGGATGCACCTGATTTCTGATCTACTCACTGGTAAGTGTCCAAAGTAGTCTTATCCCCGAACACTGGAGTGGCTTTTTTTACTTCAATGCATAAGATCGTTGGCCCCAGTGTATCCATCTCGCGGGTTGTTTAACATTTTGGACGCACCCGAATGCATATCGTAACGTCCTTTCTCACGGTCAGCCAAAATACCGTTCTTTGTCGGAACCTATGCGACCTGGCTAACCCAGTTGGCCGTCTCGTTGACCTTAGCGATAACTGATCAGTCATATTTAATGATCTATAGTGACAAGTGCGGGGACCCATAGAACATGTTCAAACCTGAACTTAAGGTGGGTAGATACTGTTCATCAACATGTCTCCGCTTTACGCGCGTGCGAAAAACACTCATGGTTAATGCGAAGAAAATCAAAACGCTGGGTCGGATCAACGCCGGGAGCCCGCTTGAACTCCTCCTCTGCAACCAAGAAATCCAACTGATGTGAGGATTCATCATTTGAACCCATCATTTTGATCGTGGCCAAGCCCTTCTGTCGGAGCTTGGACCTCTTCCACATGTGATGGCGGCCTTTATAATATCGCGAAAGAATTCCTTGGAACTGCCCCACAAATATTATTACTGACTGTCCTTCGGTCTTGAAAGCAATCTTCGCAAAGTACCTGTTGGTTTGTGGGCTACCAAGATTCAATGTGGTCGTAGCAATATTGACGTTAGTTCAGATACATTCTTGATGTAAGGAAGCGCTACCCGTTTATCTATGTTTTCCTGCTGTTGTTGCTGCACCCTCTTCTTTAGGCTTCTTCTGATGAAGTTTCTTGGATACCCGTTGTTTTGCAATACCCGGTATAGATGGTTCTCTTCCTTCTTCCTCAATTCTGTCGTGCTGCAGTGTGTTTTGGCCCTATTGAAAAGGCTTTGAATGCAACTTTTCTTGTGCTTCAGTGGATGGTTGCTGTGGTAGTTTAATATTTGGTCTGTGTGGGTCTTCTTTCGATATACACATGTCTGAAGTGTTCCGTCAGTGTTTCTTTGGATCAGTACATCTAAGAATGGTAACTGATTGTCTTTTTCGAGTTCAATTGTAAACTTGATATCCTGGAATGTGTTGTTGATTAACTCATGGGTATTCTGCATGGAATCTCGTTTGATGACGACAAACGTGTCCTCCACGTACCGGATCCATAATTTTGGTTTGATTAACGGTATTGTGATGCTCTCCAGTCTTTGCATCACAGCTTCTGCAATAAGTCCTGAGATGGACGATCCCATGGGCGTTCCTTTCAGTTGTTGGTATACTTGCCCATCAAAGTAAAAATAAGTAGTCATGCAGAGTTCCAAGAGTTCCCATATGCTTCCCGGTCTGAGGTTTCCTATTGTGTTCAGTTGATTTCGAAGCAATTCCATCATGGTTTCTTTTGCAAGTTCGTGACTGATCGACGTGAAGAGCGCGGTGACATCAAACGACAGCATGATTTCATCTTCCTCTATTGTAACACACTTCAGTTTGTTGATGAATTGTTCAGCATTTTTGATGCTGTTGACGCTAATGATGATGTTACTCGTAAATTTCAGCACCATATTCTCCTGCCATTCGTACTTATCGACTCTAATAGCAACGTTCCCGTAGTTCCTGATCGCTTCGTAAGTCTTCCATGTGATATCACATGGGTTTACGCAATGTTGCCTCCAGATCTCATCTTTTCTATTGCTCTATTTACGTGCTCTGCTTCGGATCCGCCTATTGGTTCTGCGCGATGCTCGTAATGGTACAACCTTCGATGCCGATTGTATGACCCAGTTAATTTTATCTTTCAATTCATTCCATGCATCATTCGCTGAACTGTGCGTCTGTAG